TTTCAACTGATGAACACACAAACCCTCGTAAACCCTCGTAAACCCTAAACCCTCATATTTTCTAGATTATAGTGTATTAGATTATTTCATGGATTGTGGTTATACGCGGGGAATCGTGGTTAACCCGTAATAGGTGGATTTGGGTAGGGTATTTCATCTGAAACATAAACCCTAAACCCTCGTAAACCCTAAACCCTCGTAAACCCTAAACCCTCAAATATTCTAAACCCTAAATTATCATGTACTAGACTAGTTCATGTATTTTGTAGAGAGAATTTATCGTGGTTGCTGCAGAGGAGGGGGAGGTGGGTTGGGTGTTTCACCGGAAACACAAACCCTAAACCCTAGACCCTAAACCCTAAACCCTCAAAAACCCTAAACCCTCAAATACTCTAAACCCTGAATTATACTATATTACAGTAATTAATATTTTATATATAATTTGTTATATCTACATATAATTAATTTATACGAGGGTTTTCTCTAGACAAACCACAAACCCTAAACCCTAAACCCTAAACCCTAAACCCTAAACCCTCAAAAACCATAAATAATAAAAAATAAAATAATAAATAATAGAGATAATTGATGAGTGTTTAGAGAGAAAAGAAGAAAACTAAAATAAATATTTTGGGGATTACATAATATACATGAAATATACAAACCCTAAACCCTAGCCCCCAAACCCTAAACCCTAAACCCTAAACCCTAACCACTAAACCCTAAACCATCCGAGCTTTTGCCTAAACCCTTCCCTTTTCTCCATTGTCCCTTCTCCTCTCTCCACCAAACCCTAAACCCTAGGCCCTCTGCGCCGAACCCTAAACCCTAAACCCTAAACCCTTGCCCTCTGTCAGCCAAACCCTAAACCCTAAACCCTTCACCTCTCTCGGCCAAACCCTAAACCCTAAACCCTCGACCCTCCACCACCTCTCCGCCAAACCCTAAACCCTAAACCCTTCCCCTCTCTCAGCCAAACCCTAAACCCTAAACCCTAAACCCTAAACCCTAAACCCTAAACCCTAAACCCTTACTTTGAGTGCAAAAAGGAGACAAATGGTTTCAAGTGAGTGGCTGCCTCTGTCTACATAATCCCCCAAAAAGAGATAATCAGTACAGTCTATATCACCGCATACAGCTGCTGCTGCTGCTGCTGCTGCTGCTGCTGCAGTTCCTCCTCCTCCTCCTCCTCCTGCTCCTGCTGCTGCTGCTGCTGCTGCTGCTGCTGCTGCTGCTCTGTTGCCGCTTATATACTGCTCTGCTTCTTCCTCTTCTACCGGCATTTTATATAAATGAAATAAACGCATCAAATCTAAATACTGACCGTGAATGTCACCGT